CAAAGGTTTCGAATGCGCTTCCTAACCAGAAGCTCCAAAGAGTTATTTAACAATATGAGGTGTTCAATTTATTTTTAACATTGTATTTTCATACATTTTATGCTAGGGGTGCCCAAGTCTAGTTTTCCAGAGCTACTATGTGCAGCTTTAGATACATTCCTTCTCTAACACACCTGGATCATTTACTCATTATAAGGCTCTACAGAACTGAGTTGCTGCTAATGAGGGAAGTCAACCTTTTGCCTGGGGTGTGTTTTAGCAGGGATGCATCTAAAAGTTGCAGTCTGAAGGACTGCAGCTGGGCACTCCTGATTTGTACCGTCAATGTGGCCCTTTGAGGGTGGCCAATATGCCGAAGTGGCCCTCAGTGAAATTGAGTTTGACACCCCTGCTTTATTGAGTCAGAATACTGTATGTCATGAATAATGTTTGTAGGAGATAAGGTAGAAGAAATTAATGTCATTTCCCCCCATCTTTACATCTCATTCCACCCTGCATAGTTCTTTCTGTACCAGAATTTAATATGATATGTTCCTCTAATAATAATAAACCAATGTTTTCTCTCTCAGTGACGAAAATGAGTGTGGATGAGCTCCATCAGCTGAACAGCCAACTGCTGAAACAGATTGAAAGTAAGTCTTAGTTTCCTACTAATGTGATGGGATTCTTTTAGCTGTGTATCTGAATCCAATGTTCAAATTTTAATGTTATTTAAATTAATCCAGATTATTCATAGTTAGTCTTCATCTCACGACTGCAACATATTCTAAATCTAAATATTGGACCATTTTATATCATTGAAAACTAGGGCCAGACGAAGACATTTTTTATTTTTAAATTTACAAGAATAAAGTTATAATATTACCAGAAAAAAAAAAAAAACACCAGAAGAAAGTCGTAAGAGTGGTTTTAATGAGACCAAAATCAGACATGACCAGCTCTAGTCTGTGATTTATTTTTTTCCTACAAAATATATGCAGAAGCTTGAAAATCGTTTCCAGTTATTCTGATAATAATTTGACGTGAATGTGTTGATTGTTTTTTCTCATTTGTAAAACTGATACCAAAGTAACTTCACAAGATGCTCAACATTCCTCACTTTAATATTTTATTTTTCATGTCGGAGTTCTCATAAGGTTACTACTTAATTCAACTAATGTTGCGACTTTATTCTGGTAAAATTATTCAGTAACACTGACTTTATTCTTGTGATGTGACTTAATTATTGTATGACTTTTTTCTTGCAATATTACGACTTTTTTCTCATAATTTTTATTTATTTCTTCCTTAGTGTGGTTGTAATTCTACATCGTAACTTTCAGCCTGGAATTTTAAAAATTTTTTTTAAAGAAAGTAAACAAATATGTAACTTTGAAGAGATGAGGGTTGATTAACTGATTTACTACAGCTGCGGTATTCCAAAAGTTATTTCTGATGGGCGCAGAACTTAGCAAAGCCTTTCCATTTTAGTTTGTGAAGAAACATCGCTGAAGTTGTCCCTTTTTTTTTTCGTTTTTGTTTGTTTGTTTGCTCACGTTGCTTGAAGTTCTTATAAAGATTTAATCATTTCACACGTCTGTGTGCTGCCCGTCTCTGCAGAGGTCTTTGAGGAGCTGACGGCCGCCGTGCAGGAGAAGGACGCCTTGGCGTCTGAGCTGCACGTCCGCCACGTCGCCATCGAGCAGCTTTTTAAAAACTGCACCAAACTGCCCTGGCTGCACATCAGCAGGGCCGGCGTGAAGGCCAGCACCAGCGGAGCCGCCGTGGAATGAAGGGCTGGGAGACGGCAGCACCCCCAAAGGTGGACTCTCTGAAGAGGATGATGATGATGACCATGATGAAGTGGACTGCCTCAGCATGGAGGAAGCGTCTGGATTCCGCTAGACTTTTACACTGTGCCGGCATTGGGCCACCGGCTCTGCATCCTCACAAGTTGTCAAGGGCTCGGTTGTTTTGCGGGCGCAGAAACGATGCGAGGGTTTTCAGCGCTTGGCTTGTTGCGGCTTGAATTGCAACCTGCTGATTACCCAGCATGCATGTTGAGGACAGCGGGTTCCAGATACGCCACAGCGTAGAACTGGAAGGGAACGTCTGCGTTTTAACGTGCCGCAGACTCTTAAAAAACGTTTTTTGTTTGAATTGACTTTTAATATTTGCTGGTGGTTTTCTTTTACACCGAGTTTTATTTCGTATGCTGTTCGATAATTAATCAGTTTCATTGTGCTCGGCACGTCTTTACCTTCGTTCTCTTGAACAAAGTAGCTACGGACATTCAGTTTTTTTTAGTGTTTCTTCAATTCGTTTTCAGTTAAGATATGAGAATCAGTATTTTGATCTTTGAAAAATGAAAAAGTATTCTATTCAGTCAAGCTTCCTAGCTGCACAATATTTACCTAAAACAGGTAGTGAGACGAGGTGTCAGATTGTCCTGAAAATGCCGTTTGGACTCAATGATTGGTGAAAACTGAGTGTCTGAAATCAGCAAACCACTGTTTGTCCATTCATATTTCTTTATAGTTAAGTACTATCATAAATTATAGAGGAAAAAAATTGTCATAAAATAATCTAATAGTTATTTTCTGAAAGCTTTTTTTTTTTTACCATACGTCCATTTATCGTCATTCTGGTCCTTGTTTGGGTCAGACGATTATGGTCCTAGAGCTAAGCAAAAGTAATTTAAAAATGACTTGTAGTCCACCTTGAGGAAATGACTTATTATGAGTAAAATATTTTGAAAAATATTTTACATTACATTTTAAAACTGTACACCTGAAAGTACTCCAAAAAAGCTTCACATTTCCACCGATTCAGTGTTTGGGAACGACGTACATACTAGATCTCTGTCAGTTTGGTTTCTAATTATGTTTTTCAATCATGACTTTTTACACTCTGTTGCCTAAGGAGACGTGTTACGTGAGGTTCACCTTCAAGTCTGTGTCCGTTCTGTTACTTCTGGTGTAATAAGTTTCCCCATTTCATACAAAGCAGTGTGACGTCTGTCGTGTAGCTATCAAGCACAAAGCACCATGGATGGTTATACACTTATTCAAGAGAACATGGAGATTCTGAAAAGCAAAACCAGGTACAATACCAAAGTCTGTTCTGCATTTTATTTAAAAAAAACAAAACAAAAAAAAAACACCATATGATGATGATGCAACACCAAACGGATTAATAACCCATGTGACTTATCCTTACTTGTTTTCATGTGGTCAGAGCATACTTTATTGATTCATTCTCAAGTTGCTTTCTTTCTCTCCTGTTTGAATGTGTCAGACAAAGTGTCCACATAGCAATACAAGCAGGGCGGTTTGGTCTTCAGTGCCTATGTATGTCCCTGACTTTTAAACAAAGGAAGACAAAGGTACATGAATCCTATGCAAGCTACAGACTAAAATACATACCGCCTTATCCAGAGAGTATTGGTTTGACTTTTCTTCAGAGGGCGAGGTCGCCAATTTTAAGAGTTTCTAAGCTTGATGTGTAGAAAAGCTCAGCATTATGTGTATTTTGCTCTCTTTGTAAGAGATTAGATGTTTTTGACCCTTTTTTAGGGTCTAAAGAAATGGTTTTAGCTCAGTTTTAAGCTTTTTTTTTTTTTTTTTTTTTCTTTAATGGGTTTTACTTTAGACAGTTATTTGCCGTCTGCTTGAGTGCGTTTTTGTTTGGTTGTTAAAGCAGTTTTTTTCTTTTTTAGCTTTTTAAATCTTTGGTTGTACATTTGTTTTCGAGTTGCTTTCTTGTGCTGTTAGAACATGTCTGGGCCTTTCTCCCCGCTCGGTGGGAGAACCAGTCCCATCTTACTGTGGTTCCATTATCTCCAACTGAACACAGAGGCATATCTGTTACACTTCTACTTTAGTTGTAGCCTGACTGTTCATTTGCTTACTTTTTTATTTTATTTGTTTTTGTTCATGGCTGAATCTGTCTTTGATGTATTTGCATCCTATTTATTGTGTGTGGAAATAATTTGTCTTTTGAATTGTGCTTAAATAACTTGTTTTTCCAATAAAAATAAAAATACAGGTATTTTTACATTATCTGACATGCTGTTTTTTTTAATACCAATTACAAACTTTTTTTTAAAGTAGCGCATTTAAAGTATTCACTCCCAATTTGCCTCATTTTGTCATGTTACATTCTCATATTTTAATGTAATTTATCAGAATTTTTAAATAATTGTGAAAAGGAAGGAAAGGGAAAAACAAAGTTCAACAATGAAGCAAGTGATCTCTATGAGGTGAAGAGTATGGGGGGATTTTGTCGGGTTTTTTTTATTTTTTATTTATTTATTTGCATGGCCAAATCATCACTGGTTGCTTACACAAAGCACATCTTTGTTTCCCAGTATTTCACTCTGTGGTGCGACACTGCCCCCTGCAGTTACACGTGCAACGTGATACTGTTATCTTCATATTTACTGAACCAGAACAGGTCCAGATGCTGTCAGCCCCCGAGTCCTACAAGCTTGTGCAGAGCAGCTCTGTGGGAGTCTTAACCTGACTCGGGAGAAGGCTCCACTGAAAAGTAAGTCACAGGCTGTCCTGCATCGAGTGTCTTTAGTCAGGCTTTTTCAGTTACACTGTAATACAGGAGAGCCTTCTTGCCCACAGCCCTCATGGGATAAACGCATAAAGAGCGCCACCCTGAGGACAAAAAAGCGCATAAAGCTTTACAATACTTTATTTAAAAAAAAAACACCTTAATATTCTTAATTCAAAGCTGCCTTCAGGTTGAAAACAATTTAAAAAAATGTCTTTGTCCACCTTTTCAATGTTTGAGGATGGGTAACGCAACGTTACACCCGTGATTGCAACCCACATAGATAATAACGACATGAGTCACAAAAATGACTCATCATTGATAGACATATATTCAACCAATGAATGCGATGCAGAGCTCAATTTTAACCAATGAGGAAAATGAGTAGGCGGAGCCGAAACTGTAATGGGCGGAGTCACCATGGAGAGTCAAGAGTTTTCCGTTAACCACACATTTCTGACCATTCATTTTTAGTCCATGCTGCGAGGGACGTCGTTGATATATAAGGTAACCTGTGTTCAAACGATTTGGTGCTATGGTTTAATAAGAATGGGACCGTGTTGTTTGTCTGTTACATTTTGCTGTTGTATTTTTTCCTCTGTAGCCGTGGCAACTTACCCGGGCTGTTAGCAAGATGAAGATGTTAGCCGTAACATAGCGTGGTAATTATGTAGCTTGTGCTTGGTTTCGATTATAACAAGAGAGTAATTGTTTTCTATACACACAAACGACTTGGAATTATAGCTAAAATGCTTATACCGGTTCCTTTTTAGGTTTGAGTTAATTTATGAGCGAACCGAGCCAGCTGTTTCGTCCCCAGCCGTTAGCTCTAGCTAGCCTCGGTTAGCTTTGTTATGGAGCGTGCCGTGCGGGAATAAACGGAACGTCTGCGTCACAGCCCGCCTTTCCAGGACCTATTTAATTAACAGACCGTTAAACTTGAGTGGGTCCATCTCCTCGTAAGAGACGTTGTCGTAGCTTTTGAAAGTGGCTTATTACCTTAGTGTCGTCTTTCCCTCATTGGAATGATCTTTGGTAAGCGTCATACGCACGAACGCGAAGAAACAAAACGCTAAGCGCTATGAATGGCCATTAATCAGGGTAGTTGACTGTTCTTCAGTTTTCACCGAGCTTCTGAATGTTTTCTCTCAAAAACTTTAAATCGGTTGTTCGTAAAAAGTGAAGAAATTCAACAGTTTTATCTACCTTTTATTTCAGACACTGGTCCAGTAGTATACAGTAAAGTTATGCAAGATGTAGCAGATGATAAATTATCGGATGCAATCTGTGTAAACGTCACATAGAAATGCAGCGATCATAACCATCATTCAGTGTTTTTTTTAAATATATAAATTAGGAAAATACCAGTCAGTAAAATAGCATGCATTTTACATTCTCATAAGGCTTCTAATTTCACCCTGATTTGTTAGCATGTAGACTTTACTGTAATTACAACACCAGTGAGCTCCATAAAACAAAAACCAGGCATCTACATGAGCCAGTTTGCCATCTGTGCACGAGTAAACTTTACGTTTCCAGATGGCAGATTCGCTTGCATGTATAACTTGGAGACATGTTTACAAACACTGGAATGATTTTTGGTGTGGCCTCAGTATTTTATATTCATGCATTTCATTTTTAGCCAATCTGTTTATCTGGGAAGGAGGGGCAGTTTCTCATTTCCAACAAAGACCTTCACTTGACACTTTGTCTGCTAAATTAAAAGAAATAAAAAAAATTGATGGCTCTTAAAATTGTTGTATTGTGTAATTTCCGTGGACTTGTGATTTGCTTTTGGACAGGTGAGTATTGTGTTGTAGGGGTGCACCGATTGCAGTTTTCTGGCTGATCACTGTTCTTTAAAAGTGCCGATTCCATTTTTTTATTTATTTATTTTCTGAAAAGTCTGTAAATATAGTGACTAAGTTGGCAACAGTGGGTTCTGGCTCTCACAGAAGAGCAAAACTGGACAGTGGTTGATTTTCAGACCTTTGCAGAGGTAGAGAGGTTCAGTTTCACATGCAAGTACCAAACTGATTATGTTATGTAGGCTAGTAATTTGTCTAAAGAAACATTTAAACACACAAGGCACTTGTCTGGTTCTGTGAGTCTCATTCAATTCCAATTTTCTTGCAGGAGCTCACGAGCCGTAATGACCAGACGTGAAACATGATGCGAGAGATAGCAGCAGTGGTTTTCTTTCTTAAGAGACTCGTGAAGAAAGGGGAGAAGCTGGAATCTGACAAGATCGAGCTGTTTATCGAGAGGCTGGCTGTTGCGCTACAGGAGAAGTTCAAGGGTCACTGGTACCCCGAAAGCCCCAGCAAAGGCCAGGCATACAGGTACTGTTGATAATTAACAGCACTGAATGTTAAATCAGTCTGTACTGAGAATAAGCTTTTAGTTGTTAAGCAAAACATGGTTTTGTTTGTTTTTTTTTGGGGGGGGGGTTTCAGGGGCATCCGAATAAACAGATTCAATAGGCAGGATCCGGATCTCCTTCGGGCTTGCCGGGAGAGCGGGATAAAATATAGTGACCTGGGACTTCCTCGTGAGCTCACGCTGTGGGTGGATCCTGGAGAGGTTTGTTGCAGGTGAGACTTGGTCAACCTTTCTTCTTCTATTTTATTTTATTTTTTTTTTATTTGCTAGATGTTTTACAAGGTATTTAATATTACAAAAGTGATAAAACTTTCCTCTAATACACATAACAAAAAACAATTTTCATACCTTCTTGATGCAACTAATAATTATTTTTAATAATCGATTAATCTGTCTTTTATTCAGTTGATAACAGGACAAAAAAAAAAGGCACATTCTTTGGTAACACTTTATTTGAAGGGGTGTGCATAAGACTAACATAACATCTGTCATGAACATGAAGGAGTCTTTATGAATGTTTATGACAGTTGTCATGAAGTGTCATTCGGTAAATAATGACACTTTTAATGCAAAGTTGCATTGAAAGTCCATTAAAAATGCCAACTTTGCATTAATTATCATAATTTACAAAATCATGCAAAGTTGCCACTTTTAATGCACCTTTTAGAGCAACTTTGCATTAAAAATGTCATTATTTACCGAATGACACTTATAGACATTTATAAAGACTCCTTTATGTTCATGACAGGTGTTATGTCATGTTTATGGCAGTGTCATGTAGAGCTATATAAATAAATCGATTCGGCGATATATATTGATATTTTCCGCCCTCGGAAAGTATCGATTTTTCTCCCGCGAGTATCGATCTGTGAAACCATAGGGGTCCATAGCCGTATAGCCCTTTTTAATGTCTAGTTTGTTACGGCGTAGCAGCAAGACTCCGCCTCCCTCAGTCTAACTTTCAACTCGAGCTTAAAGTGCACATTATAAACTACACACCAGTTTTTAAATTGTGTTAATAGGCCAAGTATAACCGGAGTTATGCTAAAATTAGTAAACCATATTTTTCCAAATATCAAAAGCGCCGCCATTCCCCGTCTTTTCCGATTATGTGAGAGGGAATGAGCTTCCAAATGTACGAAACGAAACATTAGATTCCTGTGTTTTTGGAAATGTAAAATCTTCAATAAATAACAATGGGCTGCATTTTGTTGCTGAGAAACGAAGTAAAGTTGCGCAAGTAACCGTGAAAGAGAAGCGGAACGGAGAAGCGGCGCTAACGGAGCAGCTGCAAAAGCAGTGAAATCGCGAAATTAATGCAAATTTAGACTGGTAGCATTCACTTCGTAATTAGTTTTTAGCTTAGCGGCTTCTGTTCTGTATATAAAGGATTACCTGAAGAATGAACATGGGTTGATATTATCCGAAGCGGGCGCGCAGCATGCAGCGGCGCTGTGTTTTGAGCAGGAAGACGAAGAGGAAAAAAAACCCAGCCGGAATCCGTGGCGCAGTGAGGATTTCCATGATAACAATGGCTGATCGATCATTCTTAGTAGCAACAGACAAAAAGTATCAGAGGCTGAGAGTACTATGAGATCCTGGCAGTCTGAGAGGCAGCTACTCAGAGATCCAAGCAGGGGAATAGCGGCGCTGCGTAGCTGCAGGGAGTCGATCACTATGGGGTGAGGCGGAGCCATTAGCAGTTAGACGAAAGCAGCTTACAGCCACGGCTAACTCCGGGAGACAAGGTAGAAAAGCCTTTTACCCCATAGTCCAAAAGACTGCATTTGTGGCTGCATTTTTACTCCAAAATGAAGACACAGTGTCCAAAAGAAAAAACATAAGTGCAATCATTTGCATATTGAGAGTCTACAGAGGCTGATAATCTCCCCACTCTGCTCCTGGATTACCGTTTAAACTTTTGAGTTTTATGTCAAATCCACATGAATTAAATGACAGAAACTAATTCTCTCACTGCGTCTTTGATTCATTTTGTCCAGCTGCAGACTGACTGTCCAATCAGAGTCAGGTATTGTGTAGTTGGTGCTTTTAATCAGTTTTCAGTTAACTAAATTCAAGTCTATGGAACACAAAATGTCACTAAAATCACTCTGTCCTTCTAAAATCTTTCAGAAAATCGTAAAGATGCACTGAATCGTAGCGAATTGTATCGTTCAACAAATACTGTGATACACATCGTATCGTGACCAGAATATCGTATCGTGAAATTATTGTATCGTTACACCCCTAGTGTCATGTCAATCTTATGCACACCCCTTCAAATAAAGTGTTACCCATTCGTTTTTTGTAACTACTTCAGCCTTTTTTTTCTTCTTTTTTTTTTTACATTATGTTTTTCATTTCTTTTACATCTTAAAAGATGCAAATAGATAAAGTCATTACTTTTTTAAATAAGAAAATAAATATTTTATTGCCTAAACTGTAATAAAATGTTACCTACTCAGTAAATCTGAACCGATTGAATTAAAACTATTTACCACCTGAGGAGTTTTGGTAAAAATATTTACAGACAGCATTGTTTTTATCTTAAATGCAATATGTGCATTTTTTTTGTACAGCTTTGGCTTTAATTGCTGTTCTGAATATGTTGCCTTGCATACTCTGTATGCTCCAGTTAACAATTAGCTGATTACTAAATTTGTTTACAATTATTTCAGTAATCAATCATCTCAACCCTAGATAAGATTTTTTTTTTCTTCAAAGATTCATTCAAAACAAAAAAATATGTCCAGCATAGAGGCCTTTCTTCTTCTCCAACAGAATGGTCTGTAGTTGATGTTTTCCTTATTTTCTCCAATTGGCAGGTATGGAGAGCAAAATCCTTGCTTCTCAGTCGCCACTTTCAGGAGTGATGATGAGGATGATAAAGATGTTGCAAAGAAGGTGACCAGCGCTCTGGAGAGAGTGACATCGGACTACCATTCGGGTTCTTCTTCTGACGAGGAAAGCACCAGCAGTTCCCCCCTCACTGTCCCCAACAGCCGCTGGACCCACCAGGTACTGTGCTCTATCCTGTCCTGTGTAGGATCTTGTAATCCTGGCCTGGCTCTTTTCATTTTCTCAGTAGCTCCATTTCTGTTACAAATGTATGCGAAACGTTGTAGATATTCTACTAATGCCAGAAAAATACATTTTTGTAATCGCAACGTCATATTAAATAAGGAACATAATAAAAAACCCACATGAAAAAGTTTGTTCACGCGATAAGCCATTAAAATTCATGCCACGCCATTGTCCTCCTGCCACTTCCTGCCGTCATCTTCGTCTTTTCTGCCAGTAGTAACATGTTGATCATGTGACCTGCAAAAAGAGTTTCCATTGCAGTTTTTGAGAAATACAGTAATTTTAATGCAGCCGAAAATCCACCTCATCCTAGCGCAAAAAAATTTTATGGAAAGTTTTTTTTGAAAGAAATTACTGTGTTCTCATTAAGTAATTTATTTTCGGAATTCTTATTTGCACAGTTACGTGGCCAGTGGAAACGCAGCTAGTTAGTAGCATCATTATTATTTGTTAGAAGATAGTTTTGAGCACATTAGCATTTTTTTTAAAGGGGCAGTATTATGGAAAATCGACTTTTCTGAGCTCTACATCATATTATAAGATTGTTCCCTCATCAAAACCACACCTTGGGTCTATCTTTGATTCTTTAATGCATGTTTGAGAAATCCTTTAGTCTCCCATGGCAACCATTCAGCCTTGCAAGATGGCAGGTTGGAACTAGTGCTGTCTTCAAGGCACATTTCCTCATCAAAGCTGCAGTTTCAATTACAATTACAGCACACCCATCTGCAGTGACTCCCCCTATTCAGGTCCTTCAGACTAGCCAGCAGCAATTAGCAAACACCTGCTGAGCTTGTTAGATGAGCCGTTTCTCAGTGAAACTGAGGTAAAAACATTTGTAAAGAGTTGATCTAGGAGCAATGTGATGGCTTCCTGGACGTGGAGTTTCAGAAAGGGCAGAAGTTTTTAAAGAGACAAATGTCCAATTTCAAGGCATTGAATTATGAAGTAACATTTCTTTAAGTCATATTTAATATATATAGCATTTTTATAACAACTGAAGGTAGCATAGTTACCTGATTGTGATAGAAAATGGCACTATGTCGCAAAAAAACATAATTCTGCTCCTCTAAATTCTTTAAGGGCACTTTTTCTTTTGTGTATTTTGAGTTCCCATTAGTTGTATAATGAGAACTCTTGTGTAGCTTGAACCAGGAATGTAATAAAACATCACCGTCTATGTCTGACAGCTATGATGCTCCGTTGTTTTTGTTCAGCGAACCAAAAATAAAGCATCAACGATCCGCTTCTGACGACTTTTCCTCTCGTTTTAGACCATGAACCCTGGAGCCCCTTCCTGGCACCCCAAAAAGATGGTGCCTGGGAAGGGTCACATCCTTCCACGGCCTCACTACGGCTACAGGCCTCGCGGCAGAGCCTCCCACACGTTGAGGAGCAACGTTTGGATCCCTCCCGTCTACAGAGCGTGCCCTGACTACTGGGACACGCAACAGAACGTGGCACATAGTTACAGTTAGGGACCACGGTGCTTGTTGTTCACACTGGACATTAAACCTAGAAAAAACTTTGACTGAGATTTTTTTTTTTTTTTTTAAAGAAACATGAATTTTTATAACACAAATATTGTTTTTCAGTCTTTTTTGCACTTTAGATCTTTTTGTTATAGTTGGAATAAATTGTATGAAATTAGGCAATAAAATTGGAATTCTACATGTGTAATTTTGTGAAGTACTGTATTTTTACTACAGGAGACGTTCATGTATGCAGCTTAATGTCCTTTGTGATGAAATGTTTTATTTATTAAGCAAAGATTTTCAGATGTATAGGCTTAATGTTATAAACTTTTATTAAACATTTCCAAGCATCACACCTTGTTTATTCCTCTGCTGTTTTGTTCAAATAACGTACAGGTATATTAAAAAAAATAATATATATATATATATATATATATATATTGGAATGGCTTCAGAAAGTTTAGTTTTTGTCAGAAAGTGAAGCTCATGATTCATGATAGGAGTGAAATATTTCAAGACTTATTTATTACACTTTTGATGATAATGGCTTACAGCTAATGCTGTAAGCCATTACAGCATTAGCTGTAACAACCTATAATTTAAAAAATAAAAAACGACACTTTAATAGAAATTTCAGGCTTCTATAAAGTACCGCATGTTCAGTTCTATGTACTTGACTGGGGTTCCTTTTTACATGAATAGCGTCGTCAAGGCGACGTGGAGGAGATCACGTCAGTTTGCTGGGCAATCAAACAGTAACAATAAACCAGCTTTTGGTATCTTAGGCAGTTCGTTCTGGTACCAAGTCCTGCATGAAGATCAAAACCTCTCAGTAGAAATGAGTCGATGGTTGCTCTGACTGAGGATTTTAAAAAAAATCCAGTAGATAAAACACCAGAAAACACCCCAAACAATCACGGACCGTGGAAACTTCAAACAAGGTGTATTCTGTGCCTCTGATTTCCCCCCAGATGTTAATTTACCAATTAAATGCAATGTTTACTTTTATATAAATAGGCTTTGCACCAACAAGCAACAGTTTCAGTACATGTTCTTTTCTGAAGATATGTTTGTGCTAAAGGAAGATAAATATTGTATTTTTATCTTGGTGTGAATTTAAAACCCTCAATATTGCCAACATATGCCGTAACATCTGGCTGCAACACTCAGAACAGGATTTAAAGTAGACAACCTGGCATCTTTTGGTTTTGCTATCTATAAAGCTGTTTTTGCTGTTGGTTTTACTCCTTTTAACGCCATCAAATAAATTAGAACATATGTTCTGAGGAGGTATTAAAGAATTTTCATTAAGATCACATTTCTGTGTTAATAGGGTTTTGTTTTTCTTCATTGTTTTGATGTAACCTTCTAATCTTCAATATATTTTAATTAGCTGCAAGCAGAAAATTGTAATTGACGTAGATAAAGGCTTGATAACATCAGCTCGTGTGTACTGTTTCACTTAGCGAGTCAAGTCACTGAAAAGTATCTGAATAAGATTTCGAAGCAAAGGTGGCAAAATGGAGTCCAACCTCACTAACCACCCAAATTTCCAGTCAATTTTGCTTAGAAGCATACGTTGTGATTGAGACATCAATTTCAACTGTACCAAACACTCAAGGCACAGCAATATTTTCTTGCAGTGCATTCAACGTTGATACTGCAAGGAGTTCCCTGTTTCTACTGGCTGGAACAGAAATAGGGACCTCCTATTTTTTTGTCCTTACTTCCTCTTCTGACCATGAAAGTCATATTGCCCGTATTAAAAACTATCTCTTCCCTATTTCTATTTTCAAGCACCTGCCTCCCACAATGTTTGCGCACACCACTGGATATCAATCAGAAATGCATATTCTGATTGTATTCCATTGTTACTTGGACAGCTAATTTTCATCTGCAGTCCCTGGGCAGAGAACATGTTCCAGAGAAAAACAACAGCCACGTGATACAGTAACATAAGATCTGTTGTATAAAGAGCCTAGAGCAAAATGGATTTGCTATGTGCAAGATGAAAATTCAACAAGTGTTAGCTTGCCAGATTGAGAAAAGACAGAAAAAAAGAACCTAATCAATTGGATAACTCTTGGGGCCTGGACAGGATGAACACTTCATTACAAACAGCAACAGTCTCTGTGCCTGCTCGCACATGCGTACAATAACAACTGTATCTCACATGCAGATTTGGACTGTGATCCTCTGAAACTTTCAATTTCAGAGGTCTAAGAGAATTCTTTGGCCTTCATTGTTTTGTTTTATTCAATGTCAGCCGTGAAACCCTGTACCATTCCAAATGTGCATTCTACTAAATTTACATCGGGTGGACTGAAATCATTTCATTTCAAGGATGATCAGTGGAAATCAGATGCACCTGAGCTCAAGTTTGAGTTAAGAAAGGCTGCAAAAGGTATATTTAAATGTTTATTTTTTTAATTTATCAAAAATATCTGAAAACAAGCTTTTACTTTGTCATTAAGTGGCTGTTTGATATCACATTTCAATCCATACTAATAAGCCTGTAATGTGACAAAATGAGGAAGAAGGAAGCAAAGGCTAGTACCAGAATATTTTCTGGAAGCACTGCTAGCTGAAAGTTCATCTGCCCAATTCTCCAATTCTGCTTTATAAGGAACTTTGTAAAGACGGGTACTGAATGTGTCACCTTCTTTTACCATATGTTCAGCCATCAAGAACATTGTGCATTATTTTCATCCTGAATCTTAGAACCACTGCGTGTATCAAGAGCGTTAAATCCATCAAATTTATAGGATGATTAATTACTAAAAACAAAACTCTCTTCTGACACGACGTATTTCTCGATGACCTTGTCCGTTTTCTTTTTCGCCAGCAGGGGGCGTCCCTGAACCGTCTATGCGCGCGTCATGGTGGGTGTCACGTGACGGCCTGCGGCGCGCTTCGCTGTGCACCTGCACGGGGAGCAGCGGAGGAGGCGGAGTGGAGTTTGGATGCTTCGGTGGAAACAGAGCGAGGCTGACGTTTTCCAGTCGGTATCGGTGCAACTTCTTTCGGCAAGTTTCTCCAAAGAACTGTTGGGATATTTCACACAAGGATGGAGCTTTCGAACCCCCGGCTTTGCTTTCTGCTGTTGAGCCTCCTCCCAGGTAAGTTTCCAGACAACCACACGAAAGCTGAGTACTTTGATGATTTTTTCCCCCTCAGTAAAAACGACAACAGAGCAAAAAAACAAAAAACAAAAAAAAAAAACAACAGGGCAGTCCAACAGGATGGTCAGTCGTTAGCCTCTGACTGTTAACTGCTTTCGTCGAGCTTTGACCAAGTGCTTAATTTTTTGGAGGGTTTTGTATCAGTCGAAGTTGATAGTTGCCGTTAACTAAAGCACATATAAATGTAAACTAATTAAATGACTCCGAAGGGAGAAACTGGGAGTCAAAGGTCGATTAGTTAGCTAGTAAGCTCAAACAAGCGTGCTATCAAAGTGAGGTTTAATTGAAATAACTGTTGTAAAGTTTGATTTTTAATAGGTCTGCTATTTATTTTTCCACTAATTCCTAGCCGTCCTACAGAAAATAACGGAACGAAATTGAAATTCGGCAATTATTTACATTTCTCCGTTTTATCCTAATCAGCCACCGTGTTAAAGTTACAGGGTATTGGATTATTAATTTGATCAGTTTCTTTTGGTGGCTGCCTTCTACCGACTACTTTAAAAATGTATTGATTTATGATAGCAGCTAAAACGCCAGGACTGTTTTTAATTCAATGTCACAAACGTCTGCATCTGTGCGATGTCTTTTGGTTTATCGTTCGCTGGTGAACACAAAAGCTTGATCCGCTTTTAAACCTGTGGCTGGAGGACTTCAAAGTGCTGCTTTTTTAGTCTGCCATCTGCCAGCAGTTTTAACCCACCCCTCCACCCCACCTCTCCGTCTCTACCCCCTTATCCAGTCTGAAATCCCGGCTTTCATATCAACTTAAATACACGTTTGCTCATGTTGGCAGATTTATTTTCTCTGCTGGTTTAAATGATTCAGAGGAAGAAAGTCAGCTATTTAAAGTTTAATGATCAGCACCGTAAAGGGATTTTTGTTGGCTCTTGGCGTTTCTGGAAGTGCATTGTGTTGTGTAAAACACCTGATTGGATGATATATATATATATATATATATATATATATATATATATATATATATATTTCTTCTTGTCCCCTGGGGATTTATCTGTGCAATTTTGTCAGTTTCTAATCAAGATCATATGTTTCAATCAATCAAATCAGATCCTTTTCACGTTTTATTTTGAAGACACATGGTGTTTTACTTTGAGTTTCTAGTCATCATTCATGTGTAAATCAAACAAGCTTTAGGTAAAGTTTGTCACCAAAAGAGTAATGTTTTATTGTCACATTTTGTCATTCTTTTGTTTTTGTGTTTTGAAACATTGTCCATGTGCCTTTGGTGAGATCACAACATAAAACAACCAATGAGCGTTCTTTGCAGCTCATCTCGTAATGTTTTTCTTCGACTTCCTGCAAAGGTAGTGACTTCATGCAGCAAAAGTTTGAGGTGTATCATAGTATGCTAATAGCCTCTGGAGTTGATTTGATTTTACCCAATTGCTAACGTTTGGCTGTCACATATGTAATGCACCGGCTCTACTGTGAAGGAAGCTATGCTAGGAAGCTTCCCGAAAATTGCGTGTGCCGTAAACATCCATCCCCCACAGCGAAAAGAGAAGTGCAGAGCCAGACTACATCTTAGCCAATGTCTTTAAACATTAATCTTGTTCTGACTTTCAGTGCTCAATGTTTGGAAGTGTAGCCAAGACTGACTGAATATCTTCATTCACTTTGTCCACTTCCAAACTCCAGCCCTATAAGGTAGACTACAGCTCTTAAACAGTGCGCAAAATTGACGTCATCTTTCACAACTCCTTCTGTTTGCTGATTGGATAGGATGAAATGTCTCCTGAGGAATCAAATTCAGTGGGAGAAATCTCAGACAAAGCACTGAAGGGAGATGAGAATCTACTGGAATTGCATACACTATGCAAGATTTCCCACAGAAAACTTGTTAAGCCCGGTGGTTCGGGCGCTCAACAGCAATTCATCCAGCTAGCCACCATGTTTTTGAGGTAAAATTTTTTTAAAGTTGACAGGAAATTTGAAAATATCACTTGATAATTATGTGGTATTGGAAGATTAATACCTGAACATCAACTATAAAATCTTAACAAATTCAAACATAAAAAAAATAAAAAATACATAAGCAATGCTAAGCCTGTTGGGGGGCCCAAGTAAAGCCTGGTGGCCAGCCAGGCTTATAATAAAGCCTGCTATGCATATTTGGGGAACATTTAGCACCAGTCAAAACCCATGGAAGAGG